CCACTACACTGCTATCTAGTAGACTCACAATCCTTACCCATTTCCTTCTATCCCCAGCTTGGGTACACCGTTAACAGCACTGATAGTCCAGCAGGGCTCAGGCTCTCTTAGAACTCATTTGTTTTATCATTAGTGTTAAATCTGTTAAACATAGTTTAACAAAAACTAACTTCTTTAACCAACGTCCAACCCCTTACCTCCTCTGTAAGGGCAGCCACCCCCACCCCAGCAGCGGCTGCATTCTGGTATCAGGTGTTTGGTCTTGTTGGAAGGGCGAGCTGTGAGAACTAGTCCTGCATGCAGCACGAGCACTGCTCCCCAACCCCTTCGGCGTGGAGCAGGTTTCAAAGCCCTTTTCTTGCTCACCTGTAACATTAAGTCACTGTGGGTTAGTGGCGAGGGATGCCACAGCTGTTGGGCTGATGGCTGTTTCCCAGCAGCCGCTAAAGCATTTGATGTGGTCCCATTCCCACTCCCGCATCCCTCAGAGGCCTGTGTTTGTACAAACGCCTCTGTCTTTTGCCTTTCTGTCTTGCTGACAGACACAAAATGCGCAGGGCTGTTTAGTGCTGGTTGGACCCACCCATGGTATGGCTGGAGCAAGAAAGCCGAAGTTTTGCCGATACAAAACAGACGGTGAACCAACCCAGATTCTCTTCAAGACAAATACGGAAGGACGAGATCAGCCCAGCATGTGCAGAGCACGACAAGCCTGACAAACAAGCTATTTGCCAGCAAAAGAGTTTAGGACTGGTTTATCTCCATAAGCCACCACAGCAGGTAGGCAGCACTGCAAGGAGACTCAGCGTGATGGAACTAAGTCTTAACTATTAGCAAAATCCCATGAGCAGAGATGCTAGGAACAGCCTTTCCATCTGCAAACAGCATTTATCTCTGGGTCAGCCCAATTACCCTGATTGCTCTGATAAACTCCACAGCAATGTTCATTCGCTTCAACACATGCACTGATGTGGGGGAGAAACAATCCCATGTGTTACAAGCTAAGCTTGAGTTAGACATGAAACCACCAACCTTCTACCGTGGCCTTTTGTCTGCAACCCCGAAAGTAAAATGCACTTCAGCTGGCACCCTCCTTGATTTGCTTTTTCCCCTTCCTAGCTGTGCATGTAAACGTAACAGAAAAATCCAGTGTCATTGTGTTACTTACAGTGCAATTTCAATATGCCTGTGGCCCAAAAGAAAAGGGATTACTGAACTGGGGTTCCTCAAGGACTAAAAAAAAAAAAAAAAAAAAAAGTTACTTTCAGCTTTGTTTTTAGCTGAAAAAAAACCCCAACAGCTTGATTGTTTCCAGATATAATAATAAACTGAGGTCTCTTCCTCCTATGTAAATGTTTATACGTTCATCCCTTTACAATGAGATGGGTAAAAGCACTGGTCTGATGGATGCCAAAGGAATAATTGAATTTTATCTGGGCGTTCATACATCAAAAAAGGTACATGCTGTTCTTCGTGCATGTCAGACAAGAATAACCACTCTTATGACAGACACTGCTGGAGTTTCTTGGTTCCTAGTTTTCCACCAAGTTCTAGCCCCAGCCCTTCTCTTGGCTGTCATTTTAGGCAAGCCACTTCACCAATGCATGTCTGCCTGCAAAATGCTTAAGGTACCTCTTTACGGTACTTTTGGACCCAATACAAGAAAAACAACCAGGGATCTGATCCAGCAACCCTGAACAGGCTCCAGGGGACTTGCAGCCAACGCTCAAAGGAGAAAGGCACCATTACAATTTGATATCAAAGGCATCATAGTTGGCATTTCTTAAGACTGTAGCAGAGCCCATCACATTCTGACCTCCCCTGTAGGCACTAAATGTAGTAGCAATGATCAGTCATCCCTGCTTAGGTGAGTTTTACCTTTTCTCAGAGGTTTCATTTGCTCAACCAACACTTGACAGCTTCCAAGGCTTCTTCCACAGTTACACCAGCAAGAAATGGGCTGGGGTGTCCAGACAGATCTTTGTCTGTCACTGGCTGCAGAGCTCCAGGGAATGCTGCATTTGTCTTGTTCGTTCTGCTGAGCAGTGGCTGCAGATGCACCAGAATTAATTTCTGTCTCAAGTCCAACGGCTGCAAATACTCCGGTGAGAACGGATGCTGTGTGGGTTTCAGTCCCCATGCAGGCTGTTCCAATTACAGTGCTACAGCCTCGTTTTGTCGGAGCCGACAATTAAGTCTCAATTTTCAGGCCAGCACAGTTTGCCACGGCAGCATCCTCTCATCATCCAACCCAAGGATGGCCACCAGAGCCTGCTGAATCCAGCCGTATGATCAGCCACAGCCTATGCTGGCTCATCCAAAACCCTAGCTTGGGGAGGAACTCAACCAAGCCACATTTCCAGGTCAGTCCAACCTCACAGCAGAGCAACAACAGCCCTGGGAAGCTGACATCTCCCCTGCAACCCACCCCCAGAGCCTCCTCTCCCTCAGCTCTGCAGTGCCGGCAGCGTGCTCCCTGGAGGAGGCCGCACGAACACGCTGCTGTGCCGCTCGCAGGAGCGGGACAGTCGGCCCATCCTGACTCACAGGTTCCTTGGAAGCGTCTCTTCCAGTCTACGCCTTCTCCGGCCATACTTATCCTGGCACAGAGCAGAGCTAGGACTATGTTCCAGAGCCCTTGAGGAAAAGATGAAAGGAAAAACCTCAGCTTATCGTTGCATACACTCCAGCTCATCTGATGCATCTTGTTTCCTCATCCAGCAGTCTCTCTACTGGAGAGGGGAGAGGGAAAATCTTTTCCTGCAGCTGCAGCAGCACTGTACAAAACTACCCTTCATCCTTGGCACTGCTGCAACCCGGCTTCAGCTCAGGGAAAAAATTCTTTTAGGGTGGATATCTGTATATGAAAAGGCAAAAAAAATTATAAAGTACACCTGGCAAAAAGTGTGTTTTCCCCTGTCTGGTTGGACCTTTGGAATGGAGTCTTGTGCACAGATGCTGTGATTTTAAAACCACTATTTTTCAAACAAAATTAAATAAATAAAAATAATAGTAGTAATTAAAACTAAATCAGCAAATGCAACTCAGTGGCAGATTCCCCAAAACTTTCCACAGACATCAAACGCACACAAAGGATCAAATGTCAACGAGATCAAGGTATTGTAAACTAACCCAAGTGACAGGACGACAGGGCAACTGATGCTCTCAGTCAAGCAAGCACTATGGATTCTTTCCTAGGCTATCAAGAAGTGGTTTGTTATCACCTCTCGCCTGTTATTTTGCACGGAAGGTACCCATCAAGCACGTTTTTATCCTGACAATTAAATCACATTGGCAGCCTGCTCTATGTAATCTTTATTACATTCTAATTAGCCTTGCAGAACCTAGCCTAGCACTGCTCTCCCGAGAGCTGGTTCCTCAGTGATGCCCCTGCCAAAACAATACCCACAGCACCCTGGATTTCTCTGCGCAAGGACAGCCAGTGCCTTCTGGTGTCAACTCAAGTCATCGCTTGTTTGCTGCGGCACACACACTTGTATCCCATCTGTTGTTCCTGCGGACCCACAGCACTGCTCTGCTGGAAAGAATGCGACGCCTTGAGAAGAGGGGCTGAGTCAGAAAGCAGGGGGGGAAAAAAAAAAAAAAAAAAAAAAATCCTTTGAGAGCATCAGCTCGCTCCCTCCTGTCCTCAACACACCATCAGGTCTCAAGGTAGGACATTTCACTGAACAAGAGTTCACTTGTAGGACAACTGCTTTCTGGGCCAACACATGAGAAACTGAACTGGGAGATTCCACAAGCAAAGGTAAAACCTGCTATAGCCAACATCAAAAAGGAAGAGACTTCTACTGTTACATGCATGAGGGGTTACGGTGGCTCTCATACAGATAAGGTATGAAAGGATTCCCAGGTTTCTCCAGGCAGTGCAGCCAGATCTCAGGGCAGCTGGTGCATCTCACGACCACTACCTGCATACTTCACAGCGAGAACAGCAATCCCTCTTCCACAGCAGGAGAAAAAGAAGTAGAAATGCTAGGATGGGATTAATTAAGAAAACCAAGATGACGTAACCAAGTAAGTTTATTGCAGAAACCCTTGGAGACACATTCTGGGCCCAGTCAGGGTAGGTAATTTGGGACCAGCGAACCACTGTGATGTGCAGTTGGCCTTAACAGACTCAAAACAACTTTTGAACAAAAATACGACAGTATTGTATATGCCAGCCTCAGCAGAACAAGTCCTTCGACAGCAATCCTGTTCCTGAAGACCCTCCCCACAACCTCCAGGAGATTAGCATATCCAGAGTATTAATCAAATAGGCATATTGAGACCGGTCAGCCCTGAGGCACTCAAGAGTAGGCAAAAGCTGGAGTGCCAGGATGCCTTCTGGCCACACTGACTGCCTGGCACATCAGGCTGAGTTCAGTGGGGCTAGCCACTGCTCCCAGCATGTTTCTTCACTCATGAAACAGTCTTAACAGTATCTACACTGAATCTTCGTAGAAAGTCTTTGCCATGGCATGTGCCACTTTTACCACCTTCTTCTCCTTGGCATCCGGGCCCATGTTGCTGCGGGCAACTTTAATCCAATACTGCTCCGTCCGGGACAGATAGTCTGCGTGCTTCTCATCAGGCTGAACAGACGGGTGTTGCTCCTCACCTAGCACACAATGGGAGGAAGACAGAAAAAAGAGGTCACAAACAGCTGATGAAGGCAATCTGCTCTTCCATGTGTCAACCCGGCCAAAACTACTCTTCAGCTAATGTGTTTAAATGTAATAGCCCCAAACCCAAAAACTTATCAGTAACCAATGAAGTTTCTCCTCCACCCCAAGAGCAGTGCACTGTGAAAACCTTGCTTTTGCTGGAAAACTCACCTGGATGCCAGTGAGGCCTTCCAGGCTGGCAGCAGAACCAGCAGGTATTGTACCAAACCCCCACTTTATATAGTATGAAGACAGCATTCATCTTAATCATTACCTCCCTCATCTTCACTCTCCTCTTCAGAGCTCTCTTCTTCCTCTTCCCCTCCCTCTGCACCTTCCATATCATCATCCTCTTCACCCGATTCTGACTCCTCCAGCCATTCTTGTGCTTCTTTGATGAGAAAGAAAATAGAAGAAATAAATAACAAGCTGTTTCCCACTCCTACACCCAGAACTGTCACGGAGGATGCCAGGGCAAGGTCAGACGTATGTGCTCCTCAAGAGCCCTGCTATATTCATTGCCCTCCCAGATCCACCCACTGTACAGGGCCTGGCTCTGATGGGGAGCAGTGGGGAGAGATGAAAAAGAGTCAGGAAGAAGCGAACAGCACAGAACAACTGGGGAAGAAAAGCTGGACAGTGCCGATGCTGACAAGAGTCAACTCTCCTCCCTAGCACTTCACAGTTCTGTGATCACGAGCAAGACTCCCTCCTTTCTGCCCTCTGCCCATTACACACATGCAGACTGTGAACTTCCAGGGCAGGGGCACCCTCTTTTAATGTCTCCCTACAGTGCCTAGCATATCACCTGGGCTGAATCACTAAACCACTACCATAAGAGATACTGCTCTAAGACACACCTACAGTTTCTTTCAATAATGAGCAGAAAATCCATCAAATCCACCTTCACTGAGGTCTCTCAGGTAATGTTTTCTACAACACTACTGATCATTCATGTAATGACCATGCGGCCAGGAATTCAGGAACTGACTTCTATGCTTGCCACATCCCCTCAGCTAGCCTTCCCGGCTTGGGAACGGCCCAGCAGAGTATTCAGAGTATGGAGCAAACATACTACACACTTCAGGTACAAAGAGATAACCCTAGCTAATGCCCACATGCTTTGCAGTACCCAAGGCCCTCACTGCCCTGAGGCGGTGAGGGCAGGCAAGAGCACACATCCCAGTCCTCTGGAAGTGGACAAGCATGGCACAGGCCAGACCTTACCACCAGTGAACAAAGACAGCCTATTCACATGTCTTACTTTTCAAAGTAGACAGACCAGAACTCTCTCTCTACAATGACTGCAAAACCTGGACCAGACAGGCTTTTGCAGTGACAGTGACTGCAAGACTCTGCATATCACATAAACCTGCCCAGGAAAAAACATGACTCAAAGGGTCATCACCATCTCAAGGAAGCTACGTAGTTGGTTGGGGTTTTTTTCTCCCTAGTGTAGTGTTGCTACACTAAAGACAGAGAGAGAGAGATCAGAGCACCATCAGAGCTTACTTGGATCCATCTCCACTAGCACCTTCCATTCTTCCATCTTGTGTAGGTCGATGCTGTAGAGATCACTGAGTGTGAACTGGCGATCGCCCACCTCAAACATTCCCCCATACACATAGAGAACCCCATGCTTCACCGCCAGCATGGCATTCGAACGTGGGCATGGCTCTACTTGCTGGCCCAAGGCTCCATCTTCCTCCTCCTCCTCCGATTCAGACCTCTCCTTCTCTTCTGCAGGTCCAGAGATCACCTGCTTGATTGTCATGACAGTCCCATCTTCTGCCACCACCTCTTTGACAATCTCCACCGGGCCTTGTGGAGGTTGTTTCTCTATCTCTTCATCTCCAGCACCCTCTGCCTCAGCTTGTCTGCCACGTCTTCGCTTCCTCTTCTCTGATTTTGGTCCCTGTTAACAGGAACAAGGAACAGAAGGAGACTGCACGTGAATTGTGTGCACCTAATAGCAAGTACAGCAGTTAATGCAAATACTATGGATGCTGCTGGGAGGGGGGGGGAAATTAAATTACTTTTCACTACAATTTTAAGTCTCAAGTGATAGGTGCAACCTCCCAGTCAGCACAAACCTCTGCTGGCAATGAAACTCCTGAAGAACCCATGGTGTGGAGTTGCTTCCTCTATTAATGGCAGCATGTACTGAAGAGACAGAAAACAGCTCTTTTGCTCTCTATCTTGCAGATGCACGCAAACACACACACAGACCGCTAGTCTGTGACAGGAGCAAGAGAAAATAACCCACCATTTTGTGAAGCCAAAACAATTGCTGGGTGCTAAATTACAGTGCATTACCAGGAAGCACTCCAGGTCTTCGAAGTACTGTATGAAAGGGCTGGAAAACAGTCAGCTAGGAAGGCAGAAGCAAACATCTGAGTGCATGTTTGCCTGTTATTATGTGATTGACTTCTTTTTGAGAACAAAGCCAGAAGCAGTGGGGGTGGAAAGAAGGAAACCAGGTCATTTGCACCTCACTTCCCCCTTAAGAGTAGTTCAAACAAAATCAAAGATCTGAGTTGAAGGCCGTATTTCTGAAGTTCTTATGAGCTAAGGTTAAGATTTCATCTCTTCTAGTAGCTCATCAACACTGGGGAAGAGAGGGAAGGTTTTTGATCCCAAGGCAACACAAGATCTTTTCACAGGAGCTTTTACTGAACTGTCTCGTGTCAGACTTACACATCTGACCTGGAGCAGGCCTCCTCCAGTAAAACACCGTAACTGTGTTTTCATACTGCTTTGTTTCATTTTGCATTACACAACAACTGGGCACATGCAGCCTGACTCCTGGAGGAGGAGGATTGCCTCCTGAACCACTCCTGCTTTGTGCCCAACTGTCAGGGCTCATAGGCTTCTTCCCTCCCCAGAAGGGGGGAACTGTGGAAGCAGGACATGGAGAACACAAGCAGCTACCTGGCAGGGAAGGAGAGGGGCAGCATAAAGTTAGAGGATTCAGCTGGTCTGGTAGCAAAAACCTGCTAGTTGCACATTCCCAGCTTCATTGCTACAGCCTCTCCCCCTCTTCAGAATCACAGATCAAACCAGAAGCCACACCTGGTGGCTCAGCTTCTGGAGCACCCCAAGTTATTAGAAATAGAGGCTTGCTCCACACTACAAGAAAGCTGTATGAGACCAAAAAAGGCCCAAAAGATAGGTGTTAGATGATCAAGGAGAATGAACTGAAAATATCTGTGTTATTTTTAAAATGAAACCTTTAGCTGTCCAGGAAACCAGCGGTTTTTCCCGATGTCGTAGAAATAAATATCATTGAAGAAGTCCCCTTCAATGCTCTCTTCCTCTTCTTCATCATGCACGCCTCCAAACAGAAGGGAGCGGTTATTGGGACCAATTGCCACGGAGAAGCCAGACCTGGGAGTGGGTTTCACCCCGGACGGGTTGAGCCGACTCCACGACCACTTGTCTAGTAATGGATAAAAGTGAAAATGAGCATCAGCAAAGGAGAATCCTGATCAGTTTTGTATCTTCCAAGGCCCTTCAGTACTCCAGCAAGTAACTCAATGACCCATTTTGGACATTCTCAGAACTGCACAGTGCACCTTTAACAACAAGGTTAATCAGATCCACTTGCATTTCCACTTCAATCACACAGCTAATCCGCACAGCCCGTTGAGCTATCTTCAGGGTGTGCTTTCTGGGGCAAGGAGCCTCCGGAAAGGTGCAGCCTCTTTTACGGGAGGGTGGAATTCAAACAAGGACTGATTACATTCAGCCTTCGAGTATCGAGGACGTGTACCTCAGTTATCCCATGGAGCCCACCCTACATCAATTCTCCCCACAGGACCCTTCTTCTACAGTACCTTATCTGCTAACTTGCACCACTGCCTTAACCCCAGGAATAAGTACAGTTCATTGTAAGGAGACCCAACCACACTTTAAAAAAAAGGGCTCAGCAGTAGGAGAAGGCTCGTGCTCTAAACCCTCCGCTTTTGCTCCAATCCCTTCTACTCTGGATTTAGAGCAAATCCCTAAAAAATGCAGGCTGGGAGAAGCACATGCACTGGCTAGGCACTGTGTTTCCAAAGGAACCACAATTTCAGCAATATAAACTATAAATAGGACATAATGCAAGCAGGGTCTGGAATCCAGACAATAAATGTGACCAAGCCTCCTCCCCAAATCCCACTTTAAGATGGTCAGGTTTAAAGAAATCAATCACAATTTTAACATTCCAGAAATTCAGCTCAAAGAAGATTGTCCCATTCCCTGAGCCAAGGACAAAATGAGGAAGGTGATGGAATTTCTGTTTCTGGGGACATTCACAGTTAAAACAGCCAAGCAACCAAACACCACTGTTGATAATATCCCTTCACTAAGTAATCTAATGGATCACACCCCAGTTTTCTCTGTTAAGACTCTGAGACCCCACTACCAAAGAGAGTTTGTCAAACACAGGAGTTTCCAGTGTGGAGAATGCTGAAATCCCAAAGATGTTCTGTTGCGAAACAGAAGAGCAGTGATCAAAATGTCCCAGAGAACAGGAAATTCAAAATGTTGTTTTAATTCCCTCCCACATACAAGCCAAAAAATCCCTAAAATATCTTTTCTTGTAGTTTTCCTGAAGCTGCCTGTGCAGGCCAGAGCTTCTCACACAGTTATGCAAGACTCCTGGAGACCCTCCACTCCATTTCAGACTATTCCAGAACCAACTGGGAGCTGTCAACATAAGACAATGCTGTGAGCTAGAAATGATTCTCTGATAAAAAGTATACCCCAACCTTCCTCCAGAGCTCTGCCAGTTCCTCACAGAAGTTTCTTGACCAGCTCCAATCCCCCAGAGTTTCACTGCGTTAGAACTACCATGTACATGAGCTCTGAAATCAAGTCACCTGGAGCTGAGAACCAGGACTCCTTACAGCCTTTGGCTGACCAGCAAGCTTTGCTCAGCAAAGCAGACACAGCCTCATCTTTTCAGGCTGTGAAATGGGAGTGGGAGAAGGGGACAGAACTGCTGTGAGGCCTGCAGTTTGCTACAGCAACAAGGTCCTATTTTCCATTTCCCTTTGCAGAGCACAGCAGTGAGGAATTCTGCCTGCATGGGTGATGGCCTGTCTTCCTTCTCCAGCACACATAAACAAAAAAGGAGAACATAATCCCTCCAATATCCCTCTGCAACTGCAGTTTCCTTCCAGCCCCTTTCTTTTTAAGATAGAGTCACAGTATACAAATGCTCTTAGCTACTCCTGGGAAGCAGAGATATTTAAATCAACTCATCTGCTGTGTTTAGCCCCAAAGCAAACACTCAGGCATATTGCTTTTCATTAAAAGGGAAATTTTGTTCTAGGCTTGGAGTTTTTTTAGTCTGTTATTCAAAGGAAGAGAATGGATTTGTATTCACAGTCCTGCAGCATCACTCCCAGCACAGCCCTCCTAGCTGCAGCAGTTGCTTACCTTCCTCCTTGCCTGCACCTTCAGTCTT